TCTCAGCGTTGACCCAGAGCACACTTCCACACACACCACCCCATCCCTGGCTTTTTGTGAATCAGGTGTTATTTATTGGGATGCAGCTGCGCTCTCATTTCCGTATTGTCTGCATCTGCTTTGGCACCACGAGGGCACGTTGGTGAGTTGCAAGTGAAACTGTATGGACCACACAGCCCGAAATACTGCTCTCTGGCCCTTCACAGGAGCAGTTTGCCACCCCCGGTCTGGAAGGTTACCACCAGTGTTCCGTGCTGTACCGTCCTCTGTCTTGTGAGAGACACGGAGGAGAAGACATTCGCGTTTCACTGGCGCTCCTGGCGATCTCAGCGGGGGGTTCCGGCAGTCTGGGCAACACTTGCTTAGGGCGTTTGTTCTGTGGTGCTCGCCTCAGCCAGGCCTTCTGTTCATGAGGAAAAGATGGAAACCTCTGAGACTTGATAGGGAACAAGGTTAGAGGATCTCCCATTCTTAAATTAAGAGCTTAATTTGATACTCAGCGAACATCTGTTGAGAACTTGCTGGAGGAGGACGTGGGGATGAGTTAGCAGCGGGGGGTAGGGGGTCCGCTTTCTGAAGATTTGTAAAGATTTGAATGTCTTGAGTAATAAATCCGAGCAATCTAAAGTGTAAATGTACTTGAAAGAGTCTGAAATTTTAAATCAAAAATGTTTATTAAATCTAAGATAAAGCCATTTTTCAATATAAACGCTTCAGCCGGAGGTGAGGGGCTGTGGGGGCCGGTGCGAGGGGTGCGCGGCTCGGGGCGGAGGAGGCTCTGTCTGAAATCATTTCTGCTTCTCCCACGAGCACATTTGCTCTGAGTTCGGGGAGAGTTTACCTGTGAGTCTGTTTTCCCCTCTTTTTGAAGCATGTGTTCTGTTTTTGCCTTTTTAAATTATAGGCACAGACCTCAGGACACAGATAGCGTTTCCCATTTGTTTAACAGGTTCTTCCTTTCATTTAAAACGGGTTGGTTTTGTTCCCCCTGCACCAGTTCCACGGCGGTGGAGCAGATGTGAGATGCGAGGTTGTCCCGCGGGCTGTGCGGCCGCCAGCCGGAGGGGCGCAAATGGGATTCGTCCCATGAGCTGCGTCCTCCTGTCCCCCCGCCACCCCCGGCTCCGCACACGCCCTCAGACAGCAGGCTCTGCACCTGCAAACCCAGGCCACAGATGCGGCCGGCATACTCGCCACACTTCTCCCTCCCACGGCCACCAGCCCCAAGGCGGACGGGCTGCCACTGGCAGGTTTGAGTGTCTGCCCTCCTGGTGGTGGTCGCGGATTAGTGTCCCCTGACTCTGTCCATCGGCAGGACGCCCACACCTGGTTGGGTCAACCGACCTGCTCTGCACACCCTTGACTGTGTTTAAGAGACGATGTCTTCTCTCCATGAGGCCCCAGAGCACAGCCTGGGGATGAAGGGAGATACCTGTATTTTCTTAAAATGGGAATTTATTTCTCATTATAGAATTATTCAGTTGGAATCTCTTGTTATTTTGTTTATCTGTAGTAGAAAATAGAATGTTTGAGTTGGTTTGAAAACACTGGTCATCACATTCACAGTCAAACTAAAGAAAAACTGTTTTGTAAAATACAGACTTAAAAACACCCACTTTGTATGTTAAGAAAGCTTAAATCAAAGGGAAGTGTAGAGTGCCCGCCAAACAGGCCGAGGTAAAAGGCGTTCTTGGTGAGGGGTCTCCAGGGGGCCCATGTCCACCTGCCATGTGGATGTCTCACTGCGCTTCTTGGAAACATACCTGTCAGGGAGACTGTCCTGTGCACGTGATGCCTACGTGACGGACGAGGGACAGCAGGGATCTGCAAGGCACCCAGGGGCTGGGCTCTTTGATTAAAATATGTAAATAAGTAAGTTTAAGAGGAGTCCCTAGATAAGGAAATGAGGAGGCTGGTGTGGTGTGATGTGTGCTCATTAGCCTGAGATGCCACTGCTCACCCTTGGGCAGCTTGACTGCCATTGGTTTTGGAGATACCACTGCGACTTTTATCAAAAAGGTTGTCTTTTGTGCATGGTGTCTCCTTTTGCGGGTGAGAACAAGGAGCCAGAAGTTGTGTCTGTCTTTGGCAGGTGGGAGTGAGTGAATTGTAACTTTGGAAAAGGCACAAACACCACTGCGCGCTCCATGTGCCCCAGGCGGGTGCGTGCAGGTTGATCACGGGTGGAGGTTGTGGCATGTGCACCATCACATTTTAAGAAGGAAAGTCCATTTGTGCTGAGTGAAATCCTAGGAGAGTGAAGTATATATTGCCAGGTTTGTATTTCTTAGTAAATCCATGTTTGTTATAAAATAAAATAGACTGTGACTGGAGCCAAAGGCGCGGCTTCCTGAGCTGGTTGAGTGTTGTGAGGACACCTGTCTTTAGGCTGGTGCCTCAAAGGAATGGGGGCAGGAATCGGTTATTTGTCTCACCCAGGCTTGTCCTGAGGTGCCCGCAGGCCGTGAGCACGGCCAGGACAGTCCTCAGGTGCTGGAGGTGTTCAAGGAACACGTCCGAGTAGGGCTGTGGCGTTCCGTGCGTCACGGGGCCCCGGCGTGGTCGGGGCCAGCTGCTGGCAGAGGCAGCCTCCCCCAGGGCCAGTGCCCCGGGGCCCGGTGTGGGAGGAAGCCTTGTTGGGTCCCTCTCGACTCCTCGCCCCCGTGGCTTTCAAGACGATGTGACTTGGTTCTCGGGAGCGACTTACTTTTCAGAAAGGAACTTGAAGAAGCCCAGGGTGGGCTTGGGGCTGCCACAGCAGGCCCCTCCCTGGACTGGCATGGCCGCGGGTGGGTGTGCGGAGCTTCAGGAAGGCGTCCCGGGCCGGCCGGGCGCGCCGCGTGCGCTCACCCCTCTGTGGGAGGCTGCTGGCCAGGCCTGAGCGGCTCACCTGGGCTCCTGTGGGATTGTTGGCTCTTGCGTGCGCCCCCTTTACGTTGAGAGCTTTCCAAAGGGCGGGCATGGCCCGCTGGTGGCTGTGAATAATTTACTGGGTTGCAGCTAGCATTCTTTAAAGTGAAATAGAATAAAACAGGAAACATCAGGGTGCGTTGAGTGAGCAGGGCAAGGCTGGTTGTGTGGTTTTAGGGACATGCACAATGCACACACATGAAGTGAGATGTGAGGGTGTTTGCTGCTGTGTCTCCTGGTCAAAGTTTGAAAGCCACTCAGGTGAAAGATCGATTAGTTTCCAGCAGCAGCTGTAACGAGCGTTCTCCGGGTCAGCCGGCTGCCGCGCTCCGCCTCGTCTTTACCTGCTGGGAGGGACTGGGAGCTGCAGGCAGCGGGCGCCCTGCTGAGCTACCAGACTCCATCTCCTGTCTGAAGGGTTTTTTTTTCCTGGAACTCCTTCCACTAAGGGGGTAGAAGGCCTGTATTGTAAAAGTTTAAATACCATCATTATAATTGTTAGTAATTCATGTTAAAACCACTTTTTGTTTGCTTAACAGACGAATTTCTCTTTCAGGTTTCCTTGCTGCAGAATGAAAGTGTGGAAAAAAACAAGAGCATACAAAGTCTGCACAACCAGATATGCAGCTTTGAAATTGAAATTGAGAGACAGAAGGAAATGCTTCGAAATAACGAATCCAAAATACTTCATTTACAGGTAAGAAGTTTAAGATTATGGCTGGGTGGAAGGGGACACACGTGTTCTCCTCCAGGACTTTCTCTGGGAGACATTTGAGCAAAAGTCCTGAACTTTGTCAAACAAGGAAACTCATTTCTTCTGCGTAAGTGAAATTCGAGGAAGGCGGCCTGGGTTTGCGGGCCAGCCTGGGCGGCCGCCATGCCTCTCCACCGCCTTCTCCCGCCCCCTCTGCTCTGGGCCTCTGGTTCATTGTTGGTGAGATAAGACAAAGAGCTCATGTTTTTAAAAATTAGCCTGTTCTTATTACTCTGTCAGATTTCATGTCGTTCATGGGTAGTTGTGTATAAAATTTCACTTCCTAAAGTGAAGCCAGACGATTTTGTTCTGCATCTTCCAGTGACACACATACTGACCGTCGCTGTATTTCACCGCAGTGACCCAAAGGTGTGTCCGGAACACACACATGAGCTCTGCTGCTCTGGAAAGTGACCATGTAGATAGGCCTGACGGAGACGTGGCCCCCCCTTCCGTCGTCAGCACGTTTCCACTAGGTACTT